GATAGTTGCACAAAAGCTTTGAGGCAATAGAACTCAGGAAAAGATTGCTGGTTCTCTTGTGACATGCAAATGGGAGTCCTTCCTTTGACAAACCTGTTGAATTCCTGACAATTTGACAAACTCTTTGAATTCCTAAGATGTAGGAGTTGCTTGTTCTAGATCAAATTGTAGACCTTTTACCCAACTTTGTTTAGACTAATATCTTCTGGGAAAGTCACCAAACATAGCAAGATGATGGACAAAGGATAGATATCTTATTAGGATGGTCTCCTTGTTGCAGGTATTCTTACAATTTATATTGACTGTTTCCTAAAATGATTTGATTGCTTATTTGTTCCTTATGACTATCATTAAGCATTGTACCTTATGATTTTTGATGAACATATCTTTTCTTTTATGTACACTGAGAGCGTATGCACCAAGACAAATTCCTTGTGTGTCCAATCACACTTGGCCAATAAAAAATTCTATCCTATTCCTGAAGAACTTACTGAAATGTCTTACAGATATTATATAATCCATGGGTTTGCCTACTGCTTTTCAGAGTCCATCTAATCAAGTGAGGTCATTTTCACTCCTCACAGTATGTATGTATGTATGTATGTATGTATGTATGTATGTATGTACGTACGTACGTACGTACGTATGTATCAGTGGTGCAATCCAATTTTTTTATTACCGGCTCTGTGGGCGTGGCTTAGTGGGCATGGTGTGGCTTGGTGGGCGTAGTAGGGGAAGGATACTGCACAATATCCATTCCCATCCCACTCCTAGGGAAGGATACTGCAAAATCTTCATTCCCTCCCCACTCCAGGGGAATGATACTGTAAAATCTCCATTCCCTCCCCACTCCAGAGGAAGGATACTGTAAAATCTCCATTCTCTCCCCACTCCAGGGGAAGGATACTGTAAAATCCCCATTCCCTCCCCACTCCTGGGGGAAGGATATTGCAAAATCTCCATTCCCACCCCACTCCAGGGGAAGGATACTGCAAAATCTCCATTCCCACCCCACTCCAGGGGAAGGATACTGTGAAATCTCCATTCCCTCCCCACTCTGGGGCCAGCCAGAGGTGGTATTTGCTGGTTCTCCAAACTGCTCAAAATTTCCGCTACCGGTTCTCCAGAACCTGTCAGAACCTGCTGGATTTCACCCCTGGTATGTATGTACATCCTACCTTTATTATTGCTGTAAATAACTCAAGGTGGTGAACACACGCAATACTCTTTCTTCCTCCTATGTTCCCCACAACAACCACTCTGTGAGGTAGGTTGGGCTGAAAGAGAGTGACTGGCCAGCTGGCTTTCACATCTAAGACAGGACTAGAACTCGCAGTCTCTGGTTTCTAGGCTGGTGCCTAGTTAAGCACGAGACCAAACTGGGTCTCCATTCCTTATGTTGAAAATACTTATTGTGCAAAATTGCACATTGCTTTTTGTCAGTCTGAAGTCTACAGCCAAATCAATTTAAATGTGTCAACATTGGCTACAGCACTGCACTGATGAACCTTGAGGAGGAGTAGACACGAGGTGGTAGAGTACTGGGCAGGGAAACAGATTCATGGCTTCTTCCTGTGAATGACTGAAATGTAACTTGAGTGTGTGGAGGCTTCACTTGTTCCAAAAATGATGGCATTCGTCTTTAATTGCATTCGGATCTTGTGCTAAACCAGGCGTAGGCCATCTGGGACTCAGGCGATCCATATGGTCTCCAGATCCCCATTTAAAATTCCAAAGTACTGTAGGATCTGAATGCTAAAATTTCTTAACAAGGTGACAAGATTTCAGTGGAATAATTTGGGATCAAAAATAGCAAAATAAAGATGAAAATGGGAAGGCAAGCATTTAGGGAGCTGAAGTACTTCCATTCTGATCCTTAAGGGGAGACATGGAAGGAATAGATGCAGGACATGGAAAATATGGGTGGGGGGTGGGTGTTGGTCTCAGTGTTAAAACGTGGAGTGATCCATTGTAACTGAATGTGGCAAGATTCAAGTCTGATCAAAAGAAAGCACTTCTTAATATACAGGTAGTCCTCGATTTACAACAGTACATTTAGTGACCGTTCAAAGCAGTAGTGAAATGTAAAATTTGTTACTACCGGTTCTGTGGGTGTGGCTTGGTGGGGGGTGTAATGTGACTGGGTGGGCGTGGCCATTTTCTTTTTAACTTTTAAAAGTATTTTTTTTACAACCTCTTGAGGTTATAGAAAAAATGCTTTTAAAAGGCTCTGATGATCCCAGCTGAGCCGCACGATTATCAGAGGCTTTTTTTTTCTTTTAAAAGCATTTTTTCTTTGGCCAAAAAATCGGACCGGATCGCCCGATCCAGTAGCGATGGCGGCAGGTGGTTCAGAGAACTGGTAGCAAAAATCCCTGCCCCCCCCATGCCCAGCTGAGTCACAGGATCTCATCAGAGGTTTTTTTTCCTTTTAAAAGCATTTTTTCTTCGCCCAAAAAAATGCTTTTAAAAGTAAAAAAAAAAAAAAAAGCCTCTGATGATCGCGCGGCTCAGCTGGGCATGAGGGGGACAGGGATTTTTGTTATCGGTTCTCCGAACCACCCGCCACCATTGTTACCGGATCGGGTGATCCGGTCCGAACCGGGAGCATTTCACCCCGGTTCAAAGTTACAGCAGCACTGAAAAAAAGTGACTTATGATTATTTTTCACACGACTGTTGCAGCAAGCCCATGGTCACATGATTTACATTTGAATGCTTGACAACTGACTCACATTTATGACAGTTGCAGTGTCCCCGAGTCATGTGATCCCCTTTTGTGACCTTCTGACAAGAAAAGTCAATGGGGAGGCCAGATTCACTTAAGAAAGAGACATGTTACTAATTTAACAACTGCAGCACCTCACTTAACAAATGTGGCAAGAAAAGTCGTAAAATGGGACAAAACTCACTTAAGAAATTTCTCATGTAGCAACATAAATTCTGGGCTCAATTGTGGTTGTAAGTCGAGGACTACCTATTTGCTGATCTGTGATGATGACTACCAACTTGGATAGGTCTAAACTCATGGAAGATTAGTAACAGTAACAGAGTTGGAAGGGACCTTGGAGGTCATCTAGTCTAACCCTCTGCTCACACAGGAAACCTATACTAGCGATTCGAACCACCGATCAGGCTACCGGTAGTTACTGTTTTGAAGGGCTAAAGATCTTTTCTGAATCACAGGCAATGCAACTTTAAATGCTAGCCAATATTGACCTCCTGTCCATGTTTGGGGTTTCCTCATCCTTCTAAGTCACCATTTTGTGACAAAAGTGGTGAATTGCATGGGCCCTTCATCTGATTCAGCAGGTTCATAACTTGGTGATCCTTTTTCATGTCACTAATTGACCTTTTGTTATGGTAGACCCTGACTTTTCCTTACAGCAACATTGTAGAACAATTGCATTAAGGTTCTGGACAGATTACCTATGTTGTAATGCACTTTCTGGTCAGTTTATAGCTTAGATTTTAATTTTAAGCATGTAGTTCCCAAGCTTCTTGGAAAACATTACAGTAAAACTTCACCACAAACAATCAGTCCCAACTTTTACCTCACCCCTAAGATCATGTACATTTCATAATTTAAAAAAGAGTAAATCAAAACTCTTTTATTTTTTATGATAGTAATAGTAGCCCTGTTGACAACAATATTCTTTCCATGTCGTATGTGGGAACATTGTTATGTTATGGAGATAGAATTTAGGAATGTGCAGATGAAGATTTGGCTCTTCTATATGGAAAAGGGAAGATTAAAATTATTGCTCCAAATAACAGACTAAAAGAGTTGGAAAGAACCTTGGAGATCTTCCAGTCCAATAATGGTTCCAGTCCAACCATAGCTGTGGCAACCTGATCTCCAGCTGAGCCATATGTAAAATTTAATCTATCATGTAAGAGTCCATTTACATGGGTAAATTGCCCCTGACTGCCAGATTTTCAGAAAAATTGAAGACATGGGATCCCAAGCATGTGAAGCAGTTGTATTTGTGGCACTATAATTGATTTTTTACCTTGACTGTAATTATATGTATTGTGTTATAGTTGTGTTATTTGTATTATGATTTAAATGCTACTAGTTGCCCAGAGATACTGTATAAATCAAGTAAGTAAATGAGTCACAACAATACTGAATTATCTCAAAAGTTGTGTCAAAACAAACCATTCCTCACTGCATATGGAGGATATAAACCAATTAGGGAGGTTAGAGAATGCTTTTTGTTGTTGTTGTTGTTGAGTTAACTCCTGGTAACTTCATGAAATTCCAAAAGGTAGGTAGGGAGATAGAGAATATAACTTCAGTAAAAGTGTTTGAGTATCTCCTCCCCACCTCCCCTTCCAAAAGAGGAGTTTGGATTTTTTTTAAAAAAAGCAGCTAGCAACCTTTATTCTTAGCACATTCAAAATATAACATCACCTCAGTTACATTCCCATTTTCAATTGGTTACCAACATAAAATATAACATTTACACAACAACACCAATTTTCTATCTGAGTTTGCAGCATTTGTTGTTGCTAACCTGTCCCAGATTTGAAATCACACTCATTATGTTCTGGAGAAAGCAATTCAACTCTCTCTTCTGGTGCAGCTTCTTTCTGCACAATTTTATCAGAAACCTGGCTCAGGGGAGAGGGTAATTCTCCAGCGGTGTCATTAGATTTGAACTACAAGACAAGATTGACCATGGTGCCGGTCAGTCACAACAGAAGAGAGCTCTCTAAACAAGGCACCCAAGCTGGACTCCCCGTTCTTGGCTGCAAAAAATCAGGATGGCCATTACTTTCTGCCAAATTTAAGTCAGACTTGCTCTCATATCACTTTTACAAAGCCTACTGATTTGCTGGAATGATCAAATTACTTAGCTTATTCAGCACTGTAGAAAGCTTCATATGTACTTTAATTAAAAACACAGCTGAAGGTATTATTTGAAGCATCATGATCATTTCCTCTCTCCACCAAACCCCTTTTTTGGAAGAAGATGACTTTTTAAAAAAAAAGGGGGGGGGGAATCTTCCCTTGACTTCAGTTTAACTTAATGAAGTAATGAAATCTCTCTTAAAAAGAAAGTTTCCCCTGCTTTTCATTATCCTTCCTATCACAAGACCATAATTGATAGCCTTAGGCCGCCCACGCCTCCTCCATTGCTCAGTGAGACCTCTTCAAAGTATTAACATCCTGCTGGGGTAATGGGGAAGGGAAGGGGGGGAAAGAATCTAACTCTCTTTCTATAATGGGTATATAAATGGGGACATTTTGGCAGGTGCAATTTTTAAACTCCTGGCAGCATTCCAACAATGTAATAAATGGCATTGAATGAAGTCCTCACTCTCCTATACAGCCAAGAACGCAGCAAGAGTTCTAAGTTGGAAATGCTACCCTATATCTTAGTGTTAGGCCTATAGCACGGGTGTCAAATTCGTAATGTCATGTTGCCATCACATGATGTTTCACAACATATAAATCTAATAAACAAACAAACAAACAAACAACGTTTTTCCCATTTGCAGAGCTGGGGTAGGTGTGGCCTATGCGTGATGTACTTGGCCCATGGGTCGCCAGTTTGACACCCCTGGCCTGTAGGGTAGACCAGACTAAGAATCCAATGTCATCAAAGGCAGGACTTTTATTGTAACAGCTGTCATACAGAATCTTACAAGTGTGAATGTGCTTCTCCTCAGCTCCTTTTATCATCATGTGATCTAGGACTGGGCCTGTCTGAGATGTTTTCTGAAATTAGTTTTTTTTTTTTGAATGGACTTAAGCCCCACTTATCTGGGCATTGCCTTGGCAGCTACATTTCCTCCTCTTTTTCAAGGCTATTCCTTACTGCTGAAGAACATCAGCAAGTTGCAGGATTTCTGTTATCATGGTTCAAGACTAAATCATAGGCAGCAATGTAGGGAGGTATGTTGCCTGTTTGAACTGGGTAGTGTTGCTAAGAAAGAAGAAGTGCTTTCTCTGTCCAGGCATCTATCCATTTGAAAGACACTTAAGGAAGTTCTTAACTGGAGACACCAATGGATAATACTTGAGCTGAATTGGACCATTTCTGGAGTCAGTTATGGAATTCTTGTTCTATTTTTGTTCATGCTGTGATCTTATACAGTGTCCACTATATTAAGCTAATGCATCTTCTTCCATTAAACACATTAGAGCTATTGGTTCTGTGCCACGAAGCTCTAAATTTCCTGGGTTTTTTTTTTATTTGCAGGGGCATAACTACTGGTAGTCCTTGATTTACCACCACAATTGACCCTGGAAATTTGGTTGCAATTCATTGTGGTCATTACGTGGATCACCAAGTGACCTGACTCAATTTTACAACCATTTTTATGGCCATGAAGCAAGGGAGCAGTCATTAAATGAATCATATGCTCATTGAGCGAATCAGGTGGTCAGTAGGTAAATAATCCAGCATATCAAATGGGTGCTTTTTGCTGTTTTTCTCCTGGAAAACAGCAAAAAAAAAAAAAATTGCAAAGCCGAGGTGGTGCAGTGGTTAGGGTACAGTACTGCAGTTCCTTCAGCTGACTGCTAGTTCAGCAGATCAGCGGATCAAATCTCACCGGCTCAAGGTTGACTCAGCCTTCCATCCTTCCGAGGTGGGTAAAATGAGGACCCAGATTGTTGGGGGCAATATGCTATTTAGTATACTGTCTTTGGTGTAAGCCGCCCAGAGTCCTCAAAGAGTGGGCAGCATAGAAATATGACTAATAAATAAATAAATCCTGGTCACTTGACCATGGGAAACTGCAACCAGTTGTAAATGCAAGGAAGTTGCCAAGTGCCCCAAATGCAACTGTGTGTGTGTGTGTTGTAAGTAATTTTTTAAAAATCCATTGTATTTTGAATGGTTATTAAGCAACCAATTGTTAAGAGAGGACTATCTGTAATGAAACATCCCCAGATCCTCACTTTGTTTATGTCAGGCTTGATTAGTTAAGCCTACAATGGATTTGATTTTATACTATTTTTTGCAAAGGCAATTTGGCACGAAGCAGACATTATTTCGCTCAATGAGAAACCAGGAACTAATAACGTCCATGATACCGCTTAATAAAGCTTGTTCCCAGGCAAATGAGAGGAACGTCCTCTGGAGTCTAATGTGCCATGAGATGATGCACGCTCTGCCTGTCCTCTGGGAAGAGGTGTGCATGACAGCGATTGTGCTTTTCTTCATCAATTGTTTTTAAATGATGTTTTATTGTTGTTTACCACCCATAATCATCTGGAATCAAATGCCTTATAAAATATGTTGATAGATATGAAAGAAGGGAGGGAGGGATGTTTTTTTTTGGTCATTTGTGTTATCGATGGGATAATTTCTACATTATGACTTTCAATGGCTCTTCAATAGTTTTCAAGTGGATACTTGCCTCCAGTCCTCCCAGCAATTATTTCATCACTTCTCTTCATGTATCATAATAAATGACCGATTAGCGTTTGCACATTTCAGACTCCCATTAACACCTCATTGACTTGTGCCTAGCAGTGGCTCTGAGGAAGCCACACGTTTATCATGTGTTGGATTACTACGAAGGAAAACATATCTTGGTTTTCAAATAGCAGAACTATGAATCTCTTAGGAAAGACCACTAGTGAACCGCAACCGTCACAGGCAATGAACGTGGGGAGAACTCCTCCAAAAACCGAGTCTGTTGAGTGGATTCTGGGGCAAGCTTCAAGCACACACTGGCTTCCGTCGTGCTGTGGTTGTGATTGTTTACCCTGAAGTGTTCTTTGGCTGGGTGGATTGCTACCATAAACTGGCGCTTAAAAGTCTCACTTAGGGCAATGTAGAGGAAAGGATTGAGGCAGCTGTTGGCATAGCCTAAGCTGATGGCAAAATTGTAGGCATAGAAAAAAGCAACAGAAGGGGTGCCTATTCCCAAATGGGCCAGCTGAAGGATATAGAAGGGTGCCCAGCAAATGAAGAAGGCCGAGCAGATGGCAACAGCCATCCGAGTGACCTTCTTGGTACGAGCCTGAAGACTTCTCTGTGGTAAGGGCACAACAGTGGTGGCCATATGCTGGAGCATTTTAAAGTACACCACACATATGATGATCAGTGGAATTGCAAAAGCTAGCATGAACTGGTAGATGGTGAACCAGTAGACATCAGTCTCAGGGTTGGGAAGCAAAAGAGCGCACCGGACAGTCCCATCATCCAAAGGCATCAGTCCTGCATACATCCACACAGGGATGATGGTCAGAAATGAGAGGAGCCACACCAGGCTGATAACCAAGGTTGCTACACATGGAGTTCGGACATAAGTAGATCTCAGAGGATAGACCGTGGCCAGGTAACGATCTAAGGTCATGACTGTCAGGATGTTGGTGCTCGTAATCTGGCTGTGGGTGTCCAGGGCGGTGATGATAGTGCACAATGGAGCTCCAAAATACCAGGAACCGTTGCCAAGGAGTTGGTGGATGAGAAAGGGCATGCCCAGCAGGAATAGCAAGTCTACAATAGAGAGGTTGAAAATGAAGATGTCAGGCACCGTCTGTTTGCACCGAAGCTTCTTCTTTTTGATGATGGTGTAGATCACAATAAGATTCCCAACTATGCCAAGAAAACAAATGATGCCAAATAAGCTAGGCATGATCACATTGGTGTAGGGAGTTGTCCTTTCCAATCCTGATCAAAGAAACAGAGAGAGCGAAAGGGAAAGGGAAAGGGAGGGAGAGAGAGAGAGAGAGAGAGAGAGAGAGAATAAGAAAAAGAGGGAATAAGATAAGGAAGTTCGAACAATCGTTCACAATAGAATTATTTATTTATTTATTTATTTATTTATTGGTTCGATTTATATGCCGCCCTTTTCCAGAGACTCAGGGCAGCTTACAATGCGTTAAGAAATCGCCTTCATACTTTTGTATATTCCTGCTTAATAGGGCTTTTGCCCCCCCCCCCCAAGCGGTGTTCTTTTTTATACAAAGTCAGCTTATTGCCCCCACAAACCGGGTCCTCAATTCAAAATTATGTTCAACTAATTCTGAGGGCTACCCAAGAAAAACCACATATAATACCCATAAAATGTGCTTCCTAACAGCAAGGAGGCTTGGAGTCCCCTGTACTAATAGGGACTAATATGTTCCACAAGGAACTTTCCCGGAACTAATTTGGAGCTAAGATGTCCCACAAAGTGAGGGCTACCACCAAGCATGCTTGTCACCTGGCTTACATCGCATGAATACAGAATCAGTCAAATTCTAATAAGCTGGGGGAAGTGGGGAATGCACAGAAATATTTGAAAGCAGCAGATGTCAGAGCATCTAATCTCAAAGGCTGCACAGGATCAAAGTGATTTCCCTGCCAGGAACTTTCTTGTCCAGATCATTCATTTTCATGAACCTAAAATATGCCCACCTTGAGTAATATTTTGAATATAGAGATCTCTTTTGTAATGTTCAAACGGTTCACAGAAAGCAGGAGATGTCAGGCTCCTGTGTCTGCAGGAGCTTAATGACAAAATGTATATGAACTAGGTGAAGCTTTTCCTGGCATAGAAAACTAAAGATAAAATCATAACTCAGTAGCAGTCCTGCGTTCAGTCCCTAGCATCTTTAGTAAAGATGGAAAATTCCAGACTGAATATCCATGCGGGAGGTCTTTCTTGCTGATCAGTATTAAAACCAAGAATTTGTTCAATGTAACTATTCACACATTTTATTTATCCATAATTATACTGATGGAATTAAACCAACTGTCTCAATTGGCATGATATATTGGCCCCTACTAACCCTGAGAATGCCTGGAGAAAGGAATGGTCCAAGGTACTTTCTTGTGTCCTGGCCATTAGTGATCCCTCGACCAAACCACGTGTCAAGGTTGACTGCACTTTCACCTACATTTTTGCTTTGCTTGCCACTTGATAATAACGGGAGTGGTGGTGAATGGAATGCAAGGGTGGGAGAATGGTATCCAAGCAGCCATCAGCTTCGAGTGAAACATTGCTGGCATCTCAAGGACACACTGAGCAAATGTCCTGGCGTGGCTGGTTGTTTCCCATAACAAAATGAACAGAAGTGATTGGTGGATGTATTGGACTGTGGGTGGCCCATAGGGAAAGGGAGGAATTAACTATGCTTGCTTTTGTGTGGGAAACTCGGAGCTGTTTTCGCTTCTTCTGTGCCAATGTGGTTTATTCAGTAAAGTTTTATACTCTTGGTAAAATAATATCCCAGGTGTTTCTTTTTCTAGATTCGCCAACTGGATAGTTGATACCACTTGGTTTTAACCTGCCTCATTCTGGACAAAATTGAACAGAATTAGGTGTGATATTGGAAGAAATGCCACTGCCCTGTACCAATGGGGATGGAAAGATTCCCCTTGTTTCAATTATGGTGCTGATATGTAAACTATTAAATAAGTTATGCAAGACTGCTCATGACGTACATTTTCTGGTTCCTTAGAAGATCTGCACGAAGCAGCACCAGAGATGATTGCCTCGATAACAGAATTGGACATCCAGTTATGAGGCCATGCTGTACCCCTGTAGAGGTTTTATATATAATTACATGGATTGTGTGTGTATATCAGAGGTGGGTTTCAGCAGATTCTGAGCAGTTCTGGAGAACCGGTAGTGGAAATTTTGAGTAGTTCGGAGAACTGGTAGTAAAAATTCTGACTGACCCCGCCCCCATCTATTCTCTGCCTCCCAAGTCCCAGCTGATCAGGAGGAAATGGAGATTTTACAGTATCCTTCCCCTGGAGTGGAGTGGGAATGGAGATTTTACAGTATCCTTTCTCTGCCACACCCACCAAGCAATGCCACGCCCACCAAGCCACACCCACAGAACCAGTAATAAAAAAAATTTGAAACCAACCACTGGTGTATATGTTTAGCAGAGTGGTGCGGTGGCCTAGAGGTGGAGCTCTCACCTCACAATCAGGAGGCTGTGAGTTTGGTCCTAGATAGAGGCAGATATTTCTCTCTCTGGGCACAATGAGAATATCTGCTGAACATAGCTCCGCATTGGTGACAGGAAGGGCATCCAGTCATTAAAACCTCTGTGCCAGCTCCATTCAGTTGCCCAGTCTCCACCCGCAAGGGATTATGGGGTCGTTAAATGATGATTATGTGTGTATGTTTATTTCTCATCCATCCTGTTCTCATCATGTTCTAAATAATAACTGGACCCTAAAACAAATAAGGTTGATTTGTAAAGTGCACACTAAGCTAAAATGTGTTTAGTTTCCATTTCAGTGTGCCAAATGAACACAGCAACTGTAAGCAGCTTCCTATGCTCCTGAGATGGAAAGGTATCATTGCCTAATGAATTGCTCCTCTTCCGAATTATTAAAACCATAAAAACCTGTTTGCTAAGAGGAAACACTGGGAAATCTGTATTCCTCATGTCAAACAGTAATTTAAAAAGCTCATGTTTTAATCAGTAATTTTAAGAACTAGATCAGAGGAGTTTACTTAGTGGATGATCCAGGGTGATTATTATTATTTTTTTAATAGATGCTTCAAGCAATCTGGATGCAACGATGATATAACACGTCATCCATCCAAATGTAACAGAACAATCCATTTTTCTGTTAGAACATTTTTTCCCTGGTCGATCTTACAAAAACAGATGTCTCAGCATAGCTAATTTGTAAGAAGATAAATTACTATCATGTACTGAACTGACAGCATTTCAGTGGCGTCTGAACTAGAATAATTTTTTTTCCAGCTAGTTATTAATTCAAAGGAAATGCCCCTGGGGTTACTGGAGAACTCTGATTAGCTCTCTATAATGCCATGTAAAACTGAAAAGAAACTATCTTTACCCTTTCCTATGGTACCTGTCCAGTATTTCTGTAATCCACCCATAGTCACTTAGACACTGAGAGGGGTGATGATGTCTAAATTTAATAAATAAATTAATTAATAATCAAGTCTACATGATTGCATTCAAGCTACTTTATAAACATGTTTTTCCTGTTCTGTGAGCTGCAATAGAAAATTCACAGATTACAGTTAAGTGGAAAAAGAAATCTGGTCACATTATTATTTTGTGTATGAATATCTACAGTATTTCTGAAAGCAGAAGGGATGTTGAAAGAAAAACAGGACTCCTAGCAATGTTGTTGTTGCCCATGTACCCATGTAGCCCACCCCCTCCAAGGAGGGAGAAGTGTTTACTTCTTTTTCTTCTGCCACACATTGTTTGGCATCTCTCTCATCTCCTATGAACACAAAAATTTCCAGTGTTGGGGCATTCACAACTTCTGCAGGCAAATTGTTCCACGTATTAATTGTTCTAACTGTCAGGAAATTTCTCCTTAGTTCTAAGTTGCTTCTCTCCTTGATTAATTTCTACCCATTGCTTCTTGTTCTACCCTCAGGTGCTTTGGAGAATAGTTTGACTCCCTCTTCTTTGTGGCAACTCCTGAGATATTAGAACACTGCTATCATGTCTCCCCTAGTCCTTCTTTTCATTAAACTAGACATACCCAGTTCCTGCAACTGTTCTTCATATGTTTTAGCCTTGAGTCCCCTAATCATCTTTGTTGCTCACTAACAAAGAACACTAACATAATTAGTGTTCTTTGATTTCCTTTCCCTTTTCCAAGGAAATTTCCTGTGACTTGAACAACTGTATGACAGAAGGAAATAAGAAGGAAATAAGTTTTCTGTTCCATTAGCAGTGGCAGATATCTGCCGATTCCTCTTCTGAAGGCACGGGATATTTGGATCTGAGGCATCTGGAGTCCAGTCTTAATCAGACTGGGAGCTCATTTCTATGCTAAGAAAGCTTTCATGTGCTTAATTTTATGAGCCAAGCGGACGTGAAATGCACATGAGTCCACTAAGAGAGTTCATCCAATGTAGCTTAATAGAAAAGACAGGGTTCCTCTGATTTGTGCATCTGTGGCTCTCATTCAACAATAAAAGTCAAGAATTATCACAGCCCATCTTTGCCTTCCACAGTGCCATCTGGAGTGCAAGCAGAATACTGAGTTCCAGCGCTCGCGTAGATTGGCAGGATATCCATTTTTAACAAAAGGAAGGCATTCAAAAAATGGTAGGCTTGATTTAGACAAAGAAGAAAAAATATTTTTTCACCCCAATACCATTCAGTGGGATGCGGTGGCTCAGTGGCTAAGACGCTGAGCTTGTCAATCGAAAGGTTGGCAGTTCAACAATTCGAATCCCTAGTGCCACGTAACGGGGTGAGCTCCCGTTACCTGTCCCAGTTTCTGCCAGCCTAGCAGTTCGAAAGCACATAAAAAATGCAAGTAGAAAAATAGGGACCACCCCTATAACAGTGTTCCGTGCGCCTTTGGTGCTTAGTCATGCCGGCCACATGACCACGGAGACATCTTCGGACAGTGCTGGCTCTTCAGCTTTGAAATGAAGATGAGCACCGCCCCCTAGAGTCAGAAATGACTAGCATATATGTGTGAGGGGAACCTTTACCTTTACATTTTACCATTTATAAGTAGACTTAGTATTATATCTTAGAGCAAAGTATGTAGACTTAACTGTTTGTCCTGATGCCTGTTTTTTTTAACCACCAAGGTTTAGTAGATGCATATAACAAAACTCCAAACAATTTATTTATGAAATAAAATAAAAATGAAATACATGTCGTGGGAAGAAAGTTTATTTTAAATAGCAAGATGAAAATTCTCTCCATCTCTCCCTCTAGATATTTCTCAGTTCTAGTCCTTTTCTGGAGGAGGAGGAGGAGGAGGAGCTGCTAAATTCTTAGTATGCTAACAGAAAACTAAATTGGGTTTGCTGCCAAGCTTTCCTGTCAGTTCTTGTCTCTGCTTATTAAGCTTGTGAGAATAGGATGCTGAAGTAGACTGAAATTCACCAAAGTCCATAATGATGTATCATGAAAGTAAAAAGTATTTAAGTGACAAGCATCTTGAATCAATGAAGCTAACTTCGTCATGCCAGGTGAGGACTGGCTCAAAGCAAGATTACTGTGACATCAAAGTCTTAAGGTATATGCTGGAATTGGGTATGTCTAGTTAATGAAAAGAAGGACTAGGGGTGACATGATGATAGTGTTCCAATATCTCAGGGGCTGCCACAAAGAAGAGGGAGTCAAGCTATTCTCCAAAGCACCTGAGGGCAGGACAAGAAGCAAAGGATGGAAACTAATCAAGGGGAGAAGCAACCTGGAACTAAGAAGAAATTTCCTGACAATTAGAACAATTAATCAGTGGAACAACTTGCCTCCAGAAGTTGTGAATTCTCCAATACTGGAAGTTTTAAAGAAGATATTGGACAATCATTTGTCTGAAATGGTATATATGAGCAGGGGGTTGGACTAGAAGACCTCCAAGGTCCCTTTCAACTCTGTTTCCATTTCCATTTTGTTTCATTTTGTTTCGTTTCTATGGCACACAATTATTATATCTCTTCTCCATCCTCAGAAGCTGCCTAATCAGACTTCACTTAGACTTCACCTAACATATACTGGTATATCCTGGTAGGGATGGGTGATTTTAGGCCCTGTAGCAAGATGTGATCAATGCCCCCTCCTGAAGCATCTCTTTGCCACCATTTCCAAATATCAGCAGTATAGTTGGCTGCCATCTTAAGAGAGAAAACATAGAAAGCTGATAAATGATGTGGTCCTCAAATGCAGCCCATCAGAACAGTTCAGCTCTGTCTTCACTCACCATCATTGTATGCCCTTGTTTGTTTGTTTGTTTGGTTGGTTATTTGTCAAACACGTAAGATAACAGATATAAGTATAAACATAACTATGAATGCATGAAATGGATACGAATAAAGGGGGACATTAGGACAGGGATGGTAGGCATGTTGGTGCGCTCATGCACGCCCCTCTTAGGAATGGGGTGAGGTCAACAGTAGACAGTCTAAGGTTAAAGTTAAGGGGGGTTGAGGATGTAACAACAGAGTCAGGTAGTGCATTCCAGGCATTGACCATTCTGTGGCTGAAGAAGTCGTATTTTCTGCAATCGAGTTTGCACCAAGAGCCTTGGTAGCGCAGCAGACTAAAGCACTGTTAAGTAACACCAGTTGCCTGCAATTACTGCAAGTTCAAATCTCACCAGGCTCAAGGTTGACTCAGCCTTCCATCCTTTTGAGGTAGGTAAAATGAGGACCCGGTTTGTGGGGGCAATAAGCTGACTTTGTGTAAAAAAGAACACCGCTGGGGGGTGGGGGCGAAAGCCCTACTAAGCAGGTATATATACTGCTCAAAAAAATAAAGGGAACACAAGCAGAAGACATCCGAGATCTAAATGAATGAAATAGCCTTATTAAATACTTTGTTCTTTACATACAGTAGTTTATACACTGCTCAAACAACTAAAGGGAACACAAAACTACTGTATGTAACGAACGAAGTATTTTAATAAGGCTATTTCATTCATTCAGATCTCGGATGTCTTCTGCTTGTCTTCCCTTTATTTTTTTGAGCAGTGTACAAAAGTATGAAGGCTATTGCTCAACGCATTGTAAGCCGCCCTGAGTCTCTGGAAAAGGGCGGCATATAAATCGAACCAATGAACCAATAATTTACCTTGAATTTGTATCTATTGTGTGCTCGTGTATTATTGCTGTTGAAACTGAAGTAGTCATTGACAGGTAGGACATTGTAGCAGATTATTTTGTGTACTATGCTTAGGTCAGACCGAAGGCGGCATAATTCTAAATTTTCTAATCCCAAAATTATGCCTGGTGGCATAAGGTTCACATAATGTTCACAGGCAGTCCATGCCCTCTCCAAAAATATTCAGTACAATCTCCAGTCCCCCAAAGTTTGTCCAAGTAAATACCATATGAAAAACAAACAAACCACACATTACTTACAATGTTTAAAGGGTACATCTAAAACATCATGGGTGAAAGCAACAAATCTGTGTGTTTTGTTTGGCCTGCCATTTAATGGAGCTTTTTGGGAGCTGAGCACGGTGCTTGAGAAATAAGGGCATTTATTTCTCTTGAGATAGTCATGACAGATCAACAATTGTTAGAGCTCGTTAGCATCAGTAGATAGTTAGACTGTGTAGCCTATAATATTCCAGTAGAATGGAAGGATCCACTTTTCTGGTTGGAAGTATTGTTGAGAGCTGCAGTATGGCTGTATGGAAAGTGCCATAAGTAACATTTCTATGAGAAGACGAATAATACATAATCTGTCATATGGATACCGGAAGAGGAAATAATATGGAACCAAGGCAATTCTCTCATCTAAACTCTTCTTTCACTTGTCATTTGCAATCTTTTCTTAAATTGTTAGGGCTATTATCTTTAACTGATTAGCACTTAAAATGTTCACAGAAAACCAATTGATAAAAATATGTCCTCAATACATCACCTAGGTTTCTGTTTTTTAAAATATATATATATGTATTTTTAATACTAATAAAGTAGCAAGTGTCTTTAAAAAAATGTTTGCCCTTTCTTCCTATAATAATAACTGCTATGGCATCTTCTAAATTAAACAAATGAGCCAAAAAAAAAAAAAAAAGGCTGTGCTTTTTGTTTTAGAGTTATTATTTTATGAAGATGGATATGTATGGATTTATACCTGGCCATCTTCCTCAGAAGGAAGTCCTATTTTGTGCCTTGGGGTTCATATTCTGATGAATTGGCTTAATGATTACTCAAAAGGTCTACGATTAGCTGTAATTCAAGATCCAGATGTCCCTTTTGTCATGTCACTCTTACCCAAAAGTGGAGCATGTAGGTAGTTCTTCCCTATTCTTTTACAAGAATTACCTGATACAAGTAATTAGTGATTAATTAGAGGTAGTGATCTATCTAGAGGTAGTGCTCAATCTACTAAATGAGGTGATCAATCCAGAAAATGAACCAGAGGTAATAATCAATTCAAACATTTCATGGCTGAATAAAGGATCTAAATTGGGATATTTTTGGATCAAGACTGCAGGGTTATATTAACATTTTGTGGATCAGAATGTACTTTTTAATTGGAGGTGGGGATGAGAGCTTCTAGGAGATGAAAACAGTGCTTGAGTATAACTGGGAAAGAGCTGGAATGCTCAGCTCCTTTTATTTATTTATTTTTCCATTAAAATTCTAACTGAAACAGGTATTTAAAAGCCATTAGAAGTTGAACACTTTTACTTTAATCTTGTTTCCAACAATTCCAAAGAAATACCAAAAATTCCAACTTCATCCAAAATTCAGTGATGTGCTCCAGGAGCTTCCAAAAAGAAGATGCACCTCTAATTGATTGTGGGTTGTCTCCCCCTCTCATTTTAAAGTGCATGCTATATCCATGGTACCCCTTCTTTTTTTAATGTGAGTGTCTTTGCTCCATAGTTTTAATTAAATCTTATCTCATCCTTCTTAAAAGCTTGTTATTTCATGCATTTCAGGATCCTAAACATAGAAATAGTACTTACAGCTAGTCATAGAAAAATTCTACTCAAATGTAAACCTGGTCAGTTTTGGGGGTGTTTGCTTCCTAACAGGCACATCTAGGATGACAGTTTGACTTCCTGATAAAGTATTACAAGTGTTTTATGCATTCAGTTATGACATGTGTCATCATTTTATAGTGTAACCACACATTTAAACTTGGGTTTTAATATTACCTCTTCTACTACATGAAAATTGCTGTTATTTGTTTACCTATGGATCAGAAAATGCTAGGAAATTACTTTCTGAACCATTAATGGTCTGTATTACATAGCTCAAATAATTTATTTCAATTTATTTCCAAAGCATTAAACAACAATATACATAGGCTATTATTCTTTACTTCTTTATCTGGAAGTAAGTCCTTTGAAATTTTTAGGACTTTAATTTCTAAATTATTATTGAGCTGAACTATTAAATTTATATAAAAAGCAAGCTGGTAAACAGAGTTAATGTTTCAAATAAAAATAAGACTGAAAACAGTTGCTAAAATGTTCAGAAATTGCTTTGCCAGCTTTTTAAACAAGCTTTTCTCTCCCTCCCTCTCTCTCCCTCCTCCTCCATCAATTTCCATCCTTTTAGCTTTTTGTAAAGCAAATAACATGCCTTCTGCAGAAAACATCAAGCAGCTATCCGAGGGTGCTGTTCATGGATGTCGGTGCTGAAATGAATCCCTTTACCCAATCTATTGTATTGCTGGAGGGGCGGGGGTGGGGGAAGAGGGAGAGAGGGGATATTAGATACAAGGTGGCTAGGGCACCCAATGTATATATTCCTAAAAGTCAGCCTCTACAAGTTAAAAAAAAATGTTCTCTTCTTTCTTTCCGTGTTTTGGAACTGAACTGTTTCCATTTGTTAAAAGGGCAAGAATTGCAATGAAATGCCAAATTAGAGCAGCAATTGTCAAATCATCAAATTTGGTATTTGCTAAATCTCCCTGAAGGGTTGAATGCTGAGAGTACAGCTGAGAATGCAATATCTTCCAGGAGCTAATCCTGTATTTGCATTCTCCGAAAAGTTATCTGCTTAAGTTATCATGCAAACCTCTCCATCCCCAACTTACTTGATTCATTCCTGACAGGGAAGCTGGAGGAATTCCTTAGGAAAGAGACTCTGGTTGCGTTCTCTACAGCCATTTCTTTGCCTGCTGTATCTTCCAGTCGGATGGTATGGGTAAAAGACGGCAAACAGAGGAATCCGAAATCAGCCTGCCTTGTCTTAGGCTACAGTGCTCCGCTTGACTGCTAGCATTGTTCTCCTACAGGTGTGATCAAGCAAAGACAAGAGAAGCTCAGCGCAAGGACAAGGATTCCTAAGTGGAGGAACTTAACAGAAGTTCCAGCTGATGCTTGTCAAAGTGGCAATGGAATAGCTTGCCTTCTGAGCCCACAGACATTCATGTCACTTCTTTAAATGTCCATAGTCACACCTTCACATGCCCAAAACAGTCTTTCCATCCGCTGATCTGGCTGGAGGCTGTGTAAATCAAGTTTGGAGACGGCTGTGACAAAGCGTGGCAGCAGGCAAAACGCTGTGGGTGGGCTCAGCTCTCTGCGCAGAAGTGGAAGATTGACAGGCTGCATCCAGCAGGAAGGAAGGGGGAACGGCACTGTTAGCCCCTGATCCTTAAGCTCTTCTAAGGTGCAGTCAAAAATTCTGTCTCTGTGTGACAGAGGCCGACATCAAAGAACAGCTGACACCATCTGACACATCATAGGGGCTTGGGGAAAGAAAGGGGGAGGGCATTGTATCCTGAACGGTCTTGGGCATTGTATCCTGAATGGCAATAGGGCAGAATGGATTTGTGTATTGCTGTAAAAGAAAGATGTTCCTAATTAACCAAGGAGCAATTCAGTGACAGGAGTCAGGAAGCAGTGATGGAAGTTAAGCAACATATTTTATGGTGGAAGCTAGGCTTGAACAGACATTTCTCTCCAGCAGTTACAGACCTCCTGAAGCTTTTCTACTAAGAGGTCAGCAAAGCAATGAAGAGTAAGAAAGAATGGGGGGGGGGGGGTTGACAGATGAGAAGTGATGATGTATTATCCAACCTAAAAAAAAAAACAAATTATGATATTTTGAGTGAAATCTTTTTTCAGCCCTGAAATCCTTAGGAGATTCATTCTTCTTACTCAGCCACAGTTCCCTTTCTGCATAATAAGTTTAAAATACTGGCCTACCTTACAAAACACTACAGAATTGCTGCTTATAAAATATAAAAAACTTCTGAAAAATGATGTTTTGTTCACCTCATTCTCTGCCACAGATTTGGATGCAGCAAAATAAACTCAGACTTTGGCCTGAATGATTTCACTCTCTCAGTGGTGGTAAGCATTTCTTCTGCTAGCATTTTGTTACCTGGTGTTTACCTGTTGTTCAGTGTTTTACATCTGTGCCTCCAAATGTAAACATAATCTAGCTGTCAACATGTACAATTTTACACTGACAAAAGCCACTGTGTCCACCTGCACTTGAAACTAACTTAAATGAAGCCATCACAAGTGTGGGTAAAAAACCATCCATTTTTATTCTTTTGATGCTGATAGTTTTGCTTTGTTTTTGTTTTGTTTTTTAATTTGATTTATATGCCGTCCTTCTCCGGAGACTCAGGGCAGCTTACAATGCGTTAAGCAATAGCCTTCATACTTTTGTATATTTATACAAAGTCAGCTTATTGCCCCCATAAACTGGGTCCTCAATTTACCTACCTTAGAAAGGATGGAAGGCTGAGTCAACCTTGAGCCTGGGGAGATTCGAACTTGCAGTAATTGCAGGCAGCTGAATGTTAATAACAGGCTATTAGCCAGGTGCGCCACCAGGCCCATTTAAACCCGTTTTAACTCTAGAACAGTTAAATAATTATGATTATTGCCTATCTGCCTGCCTAACCTTTGTCTGAGGTATTAAAAATATTTTAATAATAAAATAAAAATATTTTAAAAAGAAGAAAGAAAAATTGCGGCAAGCAGCATTAGCATAGTGGCTCCTTCTCAGACCAGCTCTGCTTATGCCAATTCTGTTCGCTGCAGCTTTCATCCCTTGACACTCTCTGAAGATCTATTCGTGTTCCTTTCTTCCAAATTCTGCATCTCTGAATTTGATCTTGGAATGAATTTCTCAATATTCTGTTGACATACCTGAAACGCTTTCCATAGTTGCATACTGTATATGTATGAATAGAAAAATATAGTGGATTTTGGTTGTGCACCAACTTGGTTTTCTACTGCTAGAATGACCATTTCTTTTGGCGCAGGGAGAACAACGCATTCTTGGATTTCAGCTCCCATCAACTTCATTAGTCATGCTGATTAGGTCTGTAGGATATTGGGGTTTTACAACAGAGCTCCATGTTCTCCCCCTAATTAAGAAAATACAGCATAGTCTATAACTCTCTACTAATTTAATCAACAGTTTCCTTTATTTTCAGTGTTTCTTCCTGAAATATGCTGTTGATTGCATTATCCATACATCTGATGCCACTCCCTCCCCCCCTCCCGACATGTTGGACAGTAGTGCAAATCATTTTCAATCAGAAGGGCACTTAACTACTTCTAGACCTTCACATCCAGTTAAATTAAAATTATTGATATTCTGACAAAATACATATGTTTCCTTCTGTTCCAGAATTTTTCTGGACTTCTAATCTTCAAGGGCCTCTTTCATGCTTACCCTTGAATGTGTAATTAGCATCTCAAGCTCCAAATGTTCAAGTCTAATCTCATTTTATTCTTTTTTTTCCTTGGGACTCCCTGGGAAAAAAGATGAACTGAAGACTTCGGTTTTCAGTTCGGCAGCAGAATGAAGAGCTGGTGAGTAGACTGCCTCTTTGTAATTCCTTTCCAAACAAGGAGAGGACTTAAGATCACCCACAAATTCTCCAGACAGTTGCTTCTCATGAGAAGATTGCAAGACAACAGTCTCCAGAAAGTTTAAGAGATCACCAACTAATCACTCAGAACAGTTAATTTAACCAGAATATGTAATCCAATCCAGTCTGTTTCTTCCAAGTACAATTTTATTTTACTCCTATTGTCTGCTTTGCATGCGTGTATATATTATAAATTCTTTGGCTCAGAGACCAGTTCCCTCCTTCCCTGTAAAGCACCATATGTGTATGTGTGTGTGTGTGTGTACACACACATATATATCATGGTTTTTAAGGTGTCTGTTGAAATGCTCTTGTATACAGTTCTGTAATATGTAGCATAATATATAGTTACGCAGCAGTACACTCCAGATCTAGCAGAGTTCCCATATAAAAACAATATTGCACTTCTTATGGAAACCAATCCCAATTATCAAGAGATGTATCAAAGCAAATCCAGGATCACAAAAGCAGTTTTTCCAAAATTTAGTTCAACAAGTTGCTGGACTCTGTATTCACAAATCTTTAGTTGTGAATATAGTAAATAATATAATGGTCTGAAAAGAGAATCTTTATGTGTTGGTTTGTTTGTGGGAAGTATCTCTTTTTCTACTGCTGCAGCATGCTTGATTCTCTCAAGCCAATGGCTCATAAATGGAAAATCACTGCAGGTTTTCCATTTATGTTATGTTTGTTTTCATTGTTAGGCTTTAATCCGTGTACATCATCCAGAGAGTCACTGTTGTGAGGTGGGCAGCCATATAAATTATTCAACTAAATACATTATTATTATTCCCTGAATAAATGATTCTTCAAGCTTTATCTCCTTTTGCAAAGTATTTTATTAGTTAACTTTGTTTCTTTATGCATGATACTGTTATGTTTTCTTGGGGAAGAAACCCCCCACAAACATAAGCAGCTCCTGCAAGACAAGGTCACAATCCGTATAATATCACCTTACGTTACACTGAATTATTTTGCTACGGTTTACAGTGGTGGGAGGAGGATGAACCAAATGTGTCTGGATTGCAACAAAAATCTTTCTCCTTTTACGCACCGGCACATTTCAAGCCACAAAATGAACTCATCAGCTTGCAAAGATCCCTTCTGCAATGTCAGGGGAGCAGGCAGTTTATTCGTGGCAAACCATTCACAGACCGGTTTTCTCTGCACATATGCTTTCAGCCCTCTGTCTGACTCACACTCACACGCAGTCCTCAGCCCCAGGCTGCCGAGGTTGTTGCTTCTTCTTGACGCTTGTTGACGTCTCCTGCAGTTCTTCTCTACTTAAACAAAATGAAGTCATGAGCTTCCAGGGTTGCCATGAGGGTGCAAAGATGGGGATGGGGATGGGTTGGTGGGTGGGAGGAAAGAGTAGGAGTCGCACTTTGATTTTTCAGGAACGTCTGAATCGCAGAAGAACTGAGTACTTTTGCACATCTTGTACAGTTATATTATATCTAATTCACTATAATTTAAAAAAAAAAAACCTCATTTGCAGTGCTTTGCAAAGTGGCTCCTGGGCTGTGAACCTATTGACTCCAGATAACTAAAATTTGTTTGCATTGGTTGACTGGCTTATATGTAAATATACAAATAATCATCCTTGTTTGCAACATGCATACATGCATTTTTAATGTCTTAAGGCAGACGCAAACACAAGCACAATGAGCACATTACTCTTTTGGGTGCCGTTCTTTTTTGGTTTGTTTCAGTTTTGATTTGCTCTCTCCTTCCTATCATTTCCATATGACACAGGCATAAAATTTGTTTATAGGCACTGAGTCATATCCGAAAGAAAATGTTCCAATCTGAGTTATTTATGCACTAGGATGAGATGATCAAATCGTCAATGAGGCCAGAGGTGTCAAACTCGATTTCATTGACCTCGGGGGCTGGGGTGGGCATGGCCAGCTCAACGTCACTTGTGTTGGGGGCGCCTGTAGTGGTCTGAGCACTCTGCCAGCGAAAACAGGTTCCCAAGCTCCGCTTTCAGCTTCAATAGCTTCCTGCAACTCTCTGCCAGTGAAAATGTTTTCACTGGCAGAGGCACCATCGACCCGTCCTTCACTGTTTCCAGGGCGGCCCCGCAGGCTAGATCTAAGCACCCCGCAGGTGTGTGTTTGACACCCCTGAACTAAACTTTTGCCCTAGTGAAGTGGGATAGTGCCTCTTAACTCAGTGAGATAGAGTATATTTCAGTCTCCTTCGTAAATAAGAATTCTAATTATAAATGCTTAAGAACAAGACATATGTTCTAATGTACCAAAAGTAGTAGTACATTAGAAGAGAATATCTGTAACTTAGGGATGAACTATGGAGCCTTTGATGCTCTCTT